TTTTTTTTTTTTTTTTTTTTTTTTTTTTTTTTTTTACAATAAACCAACATTATTTCTTTCTTTACACAATAGTGGGGAAAAACTTTTCACATGCCCAATGTTACTTTAACAGAAAAATATAATAATCAAATATACAAAGAGTACTCCCAGTTAAAAAGCAAAAAATCATAGAAACTGTACAATTTTAAAAAGTGAATTATCACAACTGCTTCCTAAGACTGTATCCTAAACAAATATGCAGGATGAAAATTAAGAGAGCTATTGTTCTGTAACAAAGCTAATCAAATTCTTGTTTTCTATTCCAATAAACAGTTTTCTTAAATGAATGCCTATTCCACTAATTATAAATGGGTTGGGTTTTATTAATGTTCTACTTGATTAATAAAGCACAAACTCACAAATTATAGGTAATTTTGCTGTCATTTCCCTGGGGGATGTGCTAGGATTTTGTATGCGTGGATTTGAGAGAGTTAGAGTCAGGGCTACTGTGATGTGGATTTTTATTTTTTTTTTTAGCCTTTTCATAACAACTGCAAGTAAAGTGTGCCTTCATTCGCTCCTGAACTAGATTTGCGAACTGGATACTTTGCTAAAATTCAGTCTGGCCACAATCCAATTCAAAACTGTTAGATAAAGCTCATGGGAAATGTTAATTGCTATGAAATCGAAGGCAAAACTCCTCTTGACTTCAGTAGAGCAAGGGTTTCAGTTTAAGCAGTGGGATTTAGGCAACTATGTTTAGGCAACCAGTGGGAATGAAACTTTTGCTCTGAGAATTTGCCATGTGGAGGGAGGATGGCAAGTCATAGCATTGTTACTTCAGCGTTGCTACTCCACTGCAGCATGTCTAGCACCTACAGCCTTTATGAAGATGTTTCCAGCCTAATGGCCTCTCTTTTTCTGTGGCATACCTGGAAAATGTAGGGGTCTTTAGCATGCCTCAGCCCTCTCAGCCACTAGATCTCAGCAGTGATGAGTGGGCTTCTCTTAGTCCTTGGCTTAATTTCAATCTTTCTTTATTTTTTCTATTAGATTCTTGGCAATTAAAGTTTCAAATGAACAAATAGCATCTGTAAATTGGATTTTTTTTAATTAAGGCAATGGCCAGTGTCATTATTAAATATTCACTGTTTACTTGTAAACTCCTAGAAGTCAAATTTCAATTTTGGACAATTGTTTTTTGCGATGATCTGGCTGCTTTGCAAAATATTGAGACCAGAAGTTTACAGTATTTTATTTTCCCCTAAGGCAGATGTTTTGTTGGAACAAACCCAAGGTGAGCCCTTTCTTAAATGGACTCAAAATACACACACCAAAGACCTAGGCTACTAGATGTGCTAATGAATTGTGGCAGCAACCAAGTCTGGGCAGGAGGTGCAGTTGAGGTGTATGCATGCAGGAAAATGATTGCAAAGTTATTTGGATTAAGTGAACTGTTACCAAAGGCATAAGGAAGTACTCGGCCTGAAAAATAAGTGACGCTTTCCCAATTCTGAGATTCCGATTGTATCAGGTAGTTTGGAATCTCCTTTGGAGTGGAAAGACATGACATTGCAGTTTAACTCAATGGGAAAGAAACACACTTTTTGCTGGTACGTCCAGTCTCTATTATGACTATAGGAAATAGAATTCTTTTTGCCAAATGTTTATGAGAATTAGTTGTCAACACTTCCTACACAAACTGAATTCCTTTGGATGGCTCTGAATAGGGAAAACCAGCAAATCTGATGACCTTTTAATGCTATGCAATGGTCTTTAGACTGCTAGAAGGTGAATCCTGCTTTCAAGGTCACAGTGACTTCCTGACTTTATGGAAAAATCCTACAATATTTATTAAAGATTAAACCATTAGGGTTTAAAATTCAACTCTTAGGTACTCTCAATCTAAACAATGCCTCTTTCTGTAGTTTAAGCCATCCTGTACTATCCAATTAACAAACAACTATATTCCGATCTACAAGCCTACAGAAATAGTACAATTCTGTGCTCAGTTTTATAGGGATTTTCTGTAAGTATGAGCTCAATAAACTCTTGAACATGACGGCCAGTATTTGAGCTCAATATTTAGGTACTTCTGAATCAATAGATGTCAACCATATGTTATTATCCTGAAACATATAAATGATTAAATATTTATGAAGGAATTGGCTTACAAAAAGTGTATTTTTGAATGTTAAACAAAAGTTGTAACATTTTGGAAAGGGCTCACATGGTGCTTTACAAAAGCTGGATGAACTGAGGACCGTTGACCTTATTTGTTGGGGGTCAATGGGACAGTAAGTACTTTTGAGGATATCAATTAATCGCAGTACAAGGACCTTAACTCCAAAGGTACCTGGCAGTCAGTAACAACAGAGTCCCTGCAGTATGAGGCCATTCTATTTGGCAATGGAAAGGTGACATACATGATGTACCAAGTTTGAATCACTGGAAGGTTTGTTTGGATGTAGCTACATGTGTTTTTAGAAAGCTGCCACATGCTGTTTCCACAGTAAATCTAATTCAAACACTTGCAGATATTGTTCAAACAGATTTCATCTCCCCTGATCTGCAATTCTGTGTTAGCTAAAGTAATAAAAGAATCCTGTTAAACCTAAATTATCAAATAAAAAAGGCAATTTTCTCATTCATACCCCATTAGTTTTTTTAGTTATTGCTAGGAAAGCTCTAAAATGTTTATGCTATAAAATAAACATGTGGCTTAATGTACAGTATGTGTACTTAAGAGGATGATGGCATCTGCAGTAACTGCTTTGCACTGCCGTGGTAATGGGGTATACAAATTAAGCAAGAACATGTACCAAGAAGAGCATACAAAAATATATGTAAGAAGTAACACGTCTGGTGCTTTTTGAAATAACTCTTTAATTGCTAAGAAGAAATCACCAAATATCAATGCCTACAACACAAAATTGAGACACGGTAATTGATTCCAATAGGTGACTTTACCTGTTCTAACAAAACTCTGCAATGTTATTTTTAACTCTGCCTTGAATAGAAATCTATAAAAGACCCTAAAATTAAAACCACTGATATGTTTTGCAATTATGAAATCAAACTTTTAACCTGGCACAAACTATAAGCATACGACATTTTCAGGTAATTTTAGAAAAAATATAAACTTAAACTATAGACATAGGGGTAAAATTTTCAAAAGCACCTCAGTACTATTTTCAAAAGGGAATTCGACTGTTAAAAACCTAAACCTCTTGGAAATAGGAGCCCATATGAAAATTTTACCCATAATTCTTTCATTCAAATAAAGCAAAGTGTTTTCTATCAGCAGTTTTCATTCCCGTTAAAAGACTGAATCAACCAAAAATATGGATGCGCGTAAGCAGACGTTACATACAAAACCACTTACAGACATACTGCAAAAAAATGGAACCAATGTCTGGATAGAGACAAACTCAACGTGAATCATACAGCGTAGATTGAAAACTGTTGCTTCAGCCATGAATGCCTTGGAGGCACTTACAGAAATATCTCTTCCGGCCTAAACAGACTGGCATAGCACTGGTTTAGAAGGAAAAAATAATGCAAAAATACAAAGAAAAGAGCTTAAATTTCCTCCCCAGTAATCCTGTAAAATCAACTAACTGTTTCCCTAAAAATTCGGAGCATTCACCGGGCTGCTAACAGGGGCCTATAAGTCAGTTCTTGAGCTTAGGCCTTTTCCTCTCATTTTTGGTTAGGTCAATGGCGCACAATAAGAATTGCTTTGCTCTTTATAACTTGGGTTCCCATTAATGTGACCAACTTGTTCTCCTCGGATGCACTAACTGTGCAGGCCTATTTACTTAGTGCTAAGATTTTCTTCCAGTCATTGCAAAACTGAAAAGTAAACAACAGTTAAGAAAACATTTGCTTGCCAAAGCCCAACCTGAAGAGGTGCCAGCTCTTTATACAGGAGGCTGGACTTGTGCTTACTAACACCCTCAGCATTGTTTCATGCTCTTGTTTGACACTGTGTGTGAATAATCACAATCCTTTTCAGGTCCCCTACTCTTCTGATTCAGTCTTTGAGAAGTTACAAAAAATAACAGAACACTGTTTTCTGAGACTATATTGACTGCACTAATTACCCACAATACTGTATATTTGCTAGTAAGAACATGAACGTGTGCTTTCAAAGTGTGAAATTCAGAGCTCCGAGGATGTGAAACGATTTTGATAGAATGCTGTCACTTAATCCGAGGCTTCAATGTATCTTTTTTTTTTTTTAGTTTAAGAAAACCAAAATACAGAATACACATTTTAACTGTTGAACCTTTACTGGCTAAAGAAATTTGTAAGGACCCTATTACTATGTGGTTACAATAGAAGATACACAGTTAATGTCAGGTCATGGTTTCCAACAACATTCACATGGACTGAAGATAAGGAAATGAGGGATGGATCTTCAGGGAACCTCAAGGAGACTGAATTGCTCATTGTGGAAGTGCCTTGAGTATTGCATTCACTTCCTCTGCAACCGCTGTCAATGCAAACTCAAACTGCTCCTGTGGAGAGAATAAATACACCCTCTGAATAATAAAACAGAACATTTCCAAGAAGCCTGCTGCCCTATTCTGCTGTAACACATCCTTCAGATGTTATTAAAGAAATATGAATATGCAGGACAAACTATCCATTCCAGTGGAAAAGAAAATAAATGTTCAGGGATTACTGATGCAATATGGTACATCTGACAGGATACTGCTACTCAGAACCACTGATAGGAAAAACAAAAAGTACTTGTTTTTATAGCTGGCTATTCACAGACAATGCCACATTTACAATTGCTTGGCCAAAAGGTCCAGGAGCAGTTGACAAGTAGCTATTTCTATCCAAAGCAGAGATGAAACTTGTCATCTGTGTGTGACTGACACATGAGGCCAAGCTGCCTCTGGAAAATAGGTGTCTGTTGCTCCTTTAAAACAGCATTTCCAACTGACATCATGACATCAACTAGATTAAGTCTCACCACTCATATGAGCGATATATTGATATAGATACATCTCTCTTTATATATAGCTCTCTCTCCCATATACACACACACACACACACACACACACGTAACACGTCCTTTCTAACATGTCTATATATATATGAGGGAGAGAGAGAGCTATATATCTATATCTATCTATCTATCTATAGAGAGAGAAAACTATGACTTGAAACTACTTTTTCTGCACCCATATCTGGCATAAATGACCAAATATCAGAGAATATTAGATAACTACCTGGTCATTTACAAACTATGCATGTATTTGAAAGGACCTTTTCAGTGCTATTAAGTGTAAAAACTTAACCAACTAGCTGCTTCTGTATTGGCCGTTGTTGGAAATTTGCCTTCCAAGTACTAATGGGTGCCTATACACGTGCTCTGATGCATTCTAATTAGAACAGTCTAGCATTGCCACAGCATCATGTGTATAAGCCCCTGCAGGGTTAAAAATAGCTGCTGGGGCACTTTAACTAAGCAGAATGGAAGACCAGAAGGAGTCATAGATATGTAACTACTATTTCAGGCTCCCATCAAACTGTTGGTTTTACTTTCTCCAATTCATATGTTGACCTAATATGTTTCAAGGTGTCTTTAGATTAAACCCTCTTGTGTCAACATGAGGAGCATGACAGATATTGTTCCTGGTTAGGAACAGAAAAGAGAAATCAGGATATGATCTCAGTCAGATATCATGAGTGGTGTGCTCATCTCAGCAACATCTTTAGCTAAACCAGCCCATCTTTGTCTGCTAATTTTGAAGCAAAAATCTGTCCTTCTCAGAGCATGATCGTTCATCCTCACCAGTACCCTGTAAATAGCTCTATACATACCAGGGGTGAGTGTTGTATTGGGGTTAAAGCAAAGCCTGGAACCGAAAGCGACCATTCAAGAGAACCAGGCACAATGACCTGAAATGCCTGACTAAATGCACGAGGGAAGCAAGGATGGTCATTCAGATGGTTGTGCCATTTCAGAATGAATATAATGAGACCTGTACATGCCAGATATGTGCCACACTGCATAAGAGAAGGATACCTACTGAGGAGGAGAAGCTCAGAGAGGAGAACAAGTACCCGCCTGACAGTCCCACTATTGTCACCCAAATCAGGCTACTGAGGGTAAAGTAACTCAAGAATATGAGTACAAAAGTAGGCTTGGAACCAAATCAGTCAGCCTCAGCTGGAAGTAGAAGCAGCTAGGTTACCAATAGAAGCTGCAGGTTGGGGCTGTCCTGAGATTGGCAACATGGGCACTGTGCTCACAGCTTTTTGACTGGAGCATGTTGCTCTTGCACTAGCAATCAAACGCAAATCGTACAGCTGCTCCTCCTTGTTTGCCAGAGTACAGAGAACATAACAGCAGAATAGGCTGATCTGAGCAAGCATGGGGCTGACAGTAATCTAGCCAAGTTTCAGAGATGATCAGATATCTCTTCCGAGATGTAGGCAGTAAGCTGGAAGAGGGGAGGTTGCTGTCTCATAATTATACAGCCACCTAAAATGCTCTTTGTATAATTTTACCAGTTAAATAAGTTCAGGGCTTACAAGCTGAAGTTCTGGTTCCAGAGGTGCAAATACATTTAAGAACACAATTCAACCATTTACAAATACGCCCTAAAAAGCTCATTGGTTCTTTGTGCGCAATGTGATAAAAGTGAACGCTTGTCTAAACTAAAAAACAAAGCAAAAACAGGTACAACTTCCTCTTCCAACCAACAACAACAGGGCAAAACTTTATCATGAGCATCGGTCCACTGACTCTGTGCAAAAACGTTACTGTAAGAGAACCTCAGAAACAAGCTAATGTGAAAACCTAACTGTGCCATATATGGTCTCTGGAAGAGCGTTCAAGGGAGCAACTCCATGTTATAACAGCTGAAGATCTGAATTGGAAGTCAAATTGTCTTACAAAACATATTCCGTAGAATCTAGATTCACAGTCGACTCTAACATCTTCCATTGAAAAGGGTGGCACAGAAAGACACACACACATGAGGGGCTGGGTTTCTTTGGTATAGGGTGGTTTTTTATCACCTCTCCCCTCTGCATCCTACCCCTCTAGCCTACGACTATGCTTAATAAGAGAAGTTAAAGCCACCTACTTTTGCCTGCCTCATACAGGTGCAGCAGTATAACTGAGGGTGGAGGAGGGGGCCTGGGGCAGCTGCCCCAGGCACTGATTTTGGGTGAGAGGGGTTCGTATGAGAACAGCCACCGTTACAGTAGCAGCTGAATATGCTGCCACAATCAGCAAGACAGCAGCTAGAACTGCCCCGGGCATGGAGCTGCCCTGTTACACCTCTGTATAAATGTGATGCATTAAGCTATACTGATGTCTTCTCCTGAAGTGCAAAACAAGTTATTATGGAGGGGTTGATTGTGTCACTTCCCCTGACGTCATCACTGATCTTTATAAAGAGAAACACCGGATTACCACCTTGCACATCTTTTTCCTACAACTAAATCTAGATTACACAAAATTTAGTCTTAGCCATTTAAGGGGACCCAGTGAGTTGGGTAGACGAGTTATGGCTCAGTCCATTAGGGACTGGAGTAGAGAAGAACTTGAACATCCATTTCAAGCTGGACAGGAATTGTGCTACTTGGGTCTATCTTTACTACAGAAACAAAAGTAAAACCTCATGTTTAGAAAAACATGACTCAGTATTTAGCTCCAATTCCCAATAAAACCTGAAAAGAAAATCAATCCTGATTATGGATCGTGTATGAGGGACCAAAGATCTCTGACTCAATAGTACAGCTTTCAGGAAGACAGACATAGTAGGGGCAAAGAGAAGGGAAGTAAGACTTATTCTGACCTCAGATAGTACATTCACTCATTTTTTTTCCTTTTAAATTACCCCACATGCAGGAACTCTGTTTTGCGATTCCCCCTCCAAAACTCCCCAAAACTCCTGCATCGTGCCTATCAAAAATGCAGACTGTAGTTAAAATTTCATTATCATTTGTTATATTTGGTGCTTTTGAATAAAAAATGATTGCTCCTAGCAGACAAAATGTCGCTAACAAATTGTTCCCATGATTATTGAAAATATGGAGCGCTGTCTGCTGGAAACACAAGACATTGCTGAAGGAACTCAGTGCTTATTTTGCCTAGGGACCTCCTGTAATTGGCATTTCTAACCTGACTTTTAATCCATTGTTTTAAATTACTCCAAGAACCTAATATTCCTCATTTGTATTCAGTTGGGAAAGCACATGGGTTTCTTTAAATCCATCCAAAAAAATTCTCTAGGGACTGAACACTGCTAGCATGTAAGCAGATATTGGTAATTTGCAATACAATAGCTTGAATCAGTGATTTGGATGTTTTTGGAAAGATAGTGGTGATGATGGAGGGAAAGGGAAGAAAGAAGCAAAATCCTGAGTCAGTTTTTCCATTTTCAAATAATGCATCAGATTTATTTTATTTCTGAAGTTTCTCCAAATAAACGTTTAGAAGAGGGACAGCGTCTCCTTCAATGACATAGCTAAATTTGTTATCAAACCTAGAGTCCACTTTCTTATTCTTTAGTTAAGGAACTGTGTTTTATGTTGCTGGGTGCAATGAGCTATAATCTAGGTGACCTTAAAATAGGGCAACAGCCACGGTTAAACAAATATGCCATGCAAGGCAGGCAGGTGTGTGGACAGAAAGCATAAGAGTTTACATTTTCTCAAGCACTAAATATTTGCTATACTGATTGCTGTAGTTCTCTTTTCATTTCAAAATCACTATCAAAGGAGAATTTGTGAAATCTTACACCTTGCTTGCAGATAAAGATTGGCCAGCTTTGACTCTTATTATTATTCTACCTCAGCTTAATGAAACGCTACCAACCTTCCCCCTCTCTCTCCCACCAGTTTTTCCAACATAACTGGGGATTAAAAATGAAGGGAGGGATTGGGAGGACTTGTTGCTTTCCTAAGAAAAGTTATTAAGCCATGTCTACTCTGAAGTCGCTTTCACTTACCAAACGTTTCAGATGGTCACATCACTACCTGTTTAACCAGGGCAGGCTGACCATCACTATTCTGGTTGTCCACATCACCTGCTCTAGGAATCTGAGACAACCACCCACCCTTTCCCCGATGTCTGACTACATAACCAGCAGACACCTGTTTAGGTGGTCTCCCTATCATGAATGAGATTCTTGAACGTTACACTGCTGCTCCTAACAACTGTCAAGTGAGCATAACCGAAAATCTCTTTCCATCCTTCACTGGTGTTACAATAGCCAGAGCACAAAGATGAACTTGAACTCTGAGATGCATGTAGACAAATATTACTTGTTTTTAGAAGTTCTTGACTGTGTTGACATGGGCAGCACAATATACATTGTAGAAGTTATCAAAAATATTATCCTCAGTAATTATATAACAACTTTTTTTGCACATCAAGAAAGAGGCAAATATGCTGCTTACAGATGCAACTCCCTCACCCCCCACCCAGTGCTTTACTTTCAGCTCGGTGCACCCCCCTGCCAAGCACAGCGTACGCCCAGAAGAGGCACTGCATTCATTTGACTTGGCTTGCTCAACGGCTGTATAGACTGCGTGCTTCAGCAGGACTTTTTGGTGCTTTTATCTAATAGCCGACTGAAACCACTATTAGATAAAAGTGCCAAAAAGCCCTGCTGAAGCACAATCTATACAGATGCTGGGGAGCTGGGTCAAACTAACGCTTTTCCTCTTCCAGTAAAGCACTGTTTTTTTCTCTCCCCACATCTGCCCGCAGCCATAAGGCTTAACATACCACACCTTTAAGGAAGACAGACAAGGGAGGTGTGTGGTTTCACTTACCTTATGTGCAATATATACAATTTCAGAAATGGGTTTGTACACTGTGATTTCTTTTTAAAGAAAGATACTTGACTTGGTTTCCTTCTGAGCTAACTTCTATTAGCCTTTTTTTTTCCAGCAAAAAACCTGAATGCAACAGTTAAGTTCTTTAATTACTTGGAGGCTTTTGGTTTTAATAATGCATGCACCATTAACTGCAAATACTATACAAAAATAATCCATCCTTGAGGATCAGAACAAGAACATTCTTTTAAGCATATGGCTTTTGTGGACTATAGATTGCTGTCTTGACTGTCCTTCATATATGTTAATCAAGATAGATATTGGAGATGTTACAAGAAAGAGCAGTAAACACCGAAGTAGCCTAGATAAATCTTCAGCATAAACAAACTGCAGTTGGTAGAAGGCCAAACAGAGTAATCAGCTAGCGACCTGTGTTAAATTAGGTCATACCCTCTCGCTTCTGTCACGAAAACAACTACAGTCAAAGACCTTTAATGTATTTAAAATCCCAGTAGATTTATTGACAGTACCTTTGTCTGGACCATGCCTGGTCTCTGGTCCCTCAAGTGTTCCAGGGTAGCAGCAATATCAATCTCTTTAGCACCTGCAACAAACCACAAATTGGGCTGAGTTCACAGCAGAAGATAATCCATGCTGCATCTGTCAATCTCCTGCTATCAGTTTCCCTTTGGGCTCACAGTCCAATTGAAAATTATTATATCCACCTCTCAGCAGAATTTGCAGCCAGCTGCAATTTTTGTGTTCATATAGAAAAATAAGGGGAAAGAGCATCTTTATTTAGCATCAATTCAACAAAAAACCTGAGAAAAACAAATCCTTAAGAAAGGCCTATATTAACAGTGCAGGGCATATCTGTTAGGAATTGAAAACTCATCTTGGTAGACTTGCAAGCTGCCCCAGTGCTAGCACTGCTTGTAATTAAGTTTCTGCAGAATCGGGGCCCTAAGCCTTCACCATTATTAATTCCATGCGTTTAAAGAAGCATTCCCTGCAAATCAAATGCGATGCAGCCATTTTAAGCCTTCAAAGCCAATTGCAGTGAAGTTGGCACAGATATAAATAGCACAGGCATCTCTCTCAAAACAGACTGTCTCAGAATTCAACAGCACCTTTTCAAGAATATTCACGTACAGAACACCAAGGAAAGGCAACGGACAACAAAGAGCTTAATGCGGTTTTATTTTGGAAAAAAGAAACAAAAAATCTTAAAAAACAAATCACCAAAGCTATCAGCAAATTGATTTGTAAAGACCTCCTTGAAAATGCATGTTTGTTAATCTGTATCAGCAGTCGACTTTGGTTCACACCATGGGCTGATAACTCAGAGACAGCACAAGGGGAAAATCACCTAGGCTTCACATACTGCAGGAAGATTTATAAGGAAGCGATTTGAAGAGAAAATGACAGGGTTTATTTTAAAGGCAAAACAGAAAGCTCTTGTCAATGAAGTGAAACAGAAGACACTTCTCAACTGCTTGAAGCACAATAAAACATCACTCCTCAACCATAGCTGATGCACTGGGAATTTACATATCCACCCATCTTTGCTGCCCCAAACCATATAAACATCGGTTCTCAGAATCTGCCATTACCTGTAGAACAGAAGCACCTTTGCAACAAGACACATTGTGGCGGTTTAAAATTTTTTAAAAAGTAAATTAAAATTGACATTCTGCCTGTCCCTACATGCTTGCTTAGTTTTATAGTCTTCAAAGTTTTACTATTACATTCCTTTGGAACACAGTTAATCCAAAGTTATGTGCTTTTCAAAACCATATCCATATTTTTTTTTGGTTGAAGTGCTCGTAGTCACTATGGCTAGAACACCTAGGAATATTGTACAGTAAAGAACTGGGGGGAGGGAGGCTCAGGCACTATATAAAGGGCAGGCTGCCTTTGTTACCTTCCTTTGAAAATGTCAGCATCAGGCAAGAGTTAATTTTGAATATTTTCCCTTTTTTAATGAACTCCAACTTTTTCAAATCTCATAATCAACAGTCAGAAGAATCATAAAGTGCAAATGAGGCATTTAGCTCCTTTTTTTTCCTGGTGCAGCTCACAGAGCCGACGTGGCGAGCACTTGCACTTACTGTTTTATCATCACGCAGGTGCTAGCGTGGACAACACTTGATAAGATTACTATGATTCAGCAAGATTCAGCACTTGATAAGATTACCCTGATTACTGATTCAGCACATGCTTAATTTTGCGCATGTGAATAATTCTTTTGGACTCGCAAGCCTAAGGTTCAAGGGTTTTGCTAAATCCTGGGATGACGTCAAGGCTTGGATCATCAGGCTTTTTAGGCAGGCTTCAGGGTGTGCATCATTACTAAGCACAAAATAAGTTTACTGACTAAAGACAGAAGATAACGAGGTAGAATCAGACAGATCTCCCCCTCACCCGCCCCGATATATTCACTCACGTTCTGGCTCTCAGACACACACCCAGCTGCTGGCCACGCTTCTGGTCTAATAAGCAAGGGACGGAGGGCAGGGCGAGAGACAGATTGTTTTATTACTTGCATTTTTTTTTGCATACTGCTCTGACACTATGGTGATGAGAGCTACCTTGCGCCTAGAGACACTGATCAACTGAATATCATATTGTAAAGATACGCAGCTGTTTTGAAGGCAAAATATCTTGGAGCAAGAAAATTCACAGCAGAAGACAATGGCAAAGAGATAACATTAGCGTGATGCAGTAGCTCCCATCATGACCAATCCTTCCCCCCACCAAGCACACTGCCACACATTTCACAGCTAGGTTCTTGCTATGGCTAAAACAACTGAGGTTTAATAAAGAAATAATGAGATATATTTAAACTCTTCTGTGACAAGGACTTTTTCTATTAAAAACTATTAGGTAGTTGTTATCTAACTGCAGCTTATCAGTTCTGCTGTGAACGTCACCTGGGTGGAAAAGCCTACCAGTGGCAGCAAGAGAGAATGGGGGAGGTTTTCAAAGGCAAAAATGTAAGTTAAGCACCCAAGATGCACTGACAGTCAATGACAGTTCACTGCTTAATCCTTTGACCATATCCTTCCTCATTACATTAGTGGCCTGTATGACATTCAGGGTCATCTCCATCACACTGAGGCATCCTCTTTCCAGCCAGAAACACAGGACAGTGGCCTAATATTCAACACTTTTTATCAGGAGATGCACAACGCTCCGGAGTCAGAGGCGATATCTTGTATTGCCTTTGACCCAAGAGCTTTGTGTACGTCTTTCTCAGACCAACACGGCTACAGCATAGATCCTTTCTTCATCAGGAAGCAGTCCAAAGGAATTTACATACCCCTGCTATGGAAGGATTTTTGGAAAAGACACTGAATTACGGTGGGGGAAAGGGAATTGAAGTGCTAGAGCAAAACCCTGAGAGATGGTAACTGATGTCATCACTTCGCTGAAAGGCTTTTAAAGACTTCTGAAAGCCCTGCACACACAAAGGTGCTGAAAGGCTGGATCAGACCTAGACAGACTTGAACTTATGGTTCTAAAAATACCGAAGTATTATAAATGTTCTGCCACCAAACCCTATCCTACAATGATATAGGGAGAAAGCAGATTGCTATCTGTTCTTGCAATGTATATCTTACAGGAAAGGGTTAAAAGTACTGGGCTCATATGGTGTATACAGAAACTGGAAAGAAGAAAGTGAAATGTGCCAAGAAAGCAAGGGGTTTTTTTGGTTTATGGTTTCTACCAACAGCTATTCCTCTGTTGTTACAGTTCTACTGGCTTCCAGAAATAAGTTAAGCTGTGCACAAAAGGTATAAAGAATGGTCTTTTCACCTCTGACTACATTAGACCCCGTAGTCAAGATCTTACAGGAAATAAATTTGGTGTCTGCTTTGCCCTGCATACCCTTCTAATAAGAGATTTCTTTGCTTGTTTTAAACGTATGTAAGAATATAATTTATTGTGAGATGAAGCAGCTGCTCTAGTAGCAGCAGTAATGTGAAATATGAATTTGTAAAGCATTTTTTTTCCAGAATATGCATTTGCAGTAATTCACCAGGGGCCAGATTCTGCCAACCTCCTTCCAACTGAATAGGAGCCGAGTCCTGGCAGTCTTGCTGAGCTCCACAGGCCCACGCACACCAGATGAAGTACTGCTCACTGTGAGTAAAGGAGGAAATCCAGCCCTTAGTAATTAACCATAACATTTCTAAATGCTCAAAGCAGTTCCAGTGAATGCACAGTAATCCACATCAGAAACATCAGCAGAGTAAAACTAAGAGTAAGACAAGAGAAGGTGAAGCTGAATTAGATTTTGCCCCAAGGAGAGAAGCAGTTTCTGAAGTTTAGGGTCATCCCTTCTCCAACCTCTCCGCCTCCCCTGGGCAGCAGCATAGGCAGCATGCTGGCATTTAGCAGCTGGTGCTCCTGATTAGCAGCCCCCATGGGGTTTAAACACTGGCCTGCAGACAGATAAACTGGTAGAGCCACCACACTGCTCTGTCAGAGAAAAACATGTGACATTCACATGGTCTTTTTTAATATAATAAATAACTCTGAACTAACCATGTTCTACTACAACAGGCTCTCCAAGGTTACTAGCACCAACTCCCAATATTTAAATAGACTATTAATATTACCATTATTACTGTAGTAACTAAAGGCCTGCATGTTACACAAAGTTTCATGAGAATGCCTAAGATCTAGTTTCCAACACACTGTCATGTCTTGCTATGGGCATTTGCAGAGTTTATTTGGTGAAGGCCATTTAGGAGATTTTACTTCTATGCAGAAGCCTTACACCCAGCTTAAAGGCAAGTCACTTAATGTCTTCACTGGGAACAGGAATGGGCCCAATGTTTTCACTAGTCTAATCATTTACATCTATTAAAAGGAGCTTTCTGCTGGAGACATTTTGTAGATATATTGGCAAACACTCTAGAAAATAAAGATAGTACACTTGTTTAAAAGGCTGCGAGCTTGTTTGTTATGAACATTAAGCAATGGGCTAGTTGTTTATGTACTGGGCTGAGATTCTGGCCAGTTCAGTCCAAGTCCTGGCTTAGACACAGAGTTGCCACTTGCCTTTGGGTAAATCATTAAATAGGGTGCTGTGTCTCAGATTATCATCTGTAAAATGGAACAATACTTCCCTATCTTGCAGGTGTTAGAGATAAATCCACTAATGACTGAGAGGTGCTCAGACAGTACAGGGATAAGGACTAGTGAATACCTAGAATAAATACTCCATATTTCTCTTTAAAGAGCTTTTTCTCCTTTTTTAGCTCTGCTTTTACCTGTCGTTGTTCATGTAGTGATCACAAAAGACATGGGAGTTGCATTGTGGGGTTGCAAATGTGGGATCATTAAGACTTCCATTATATTCTTAAGAAGAAGGATATGAGCCGTGTGGGGAATAAGCACTTATCCCGATAGAAAAAATGGAATACTAAAGGAAATACAGAAAATGACCTGTCAAGTGCATTTCTTTTGTACTATTTAAGGTGCTCAATTTCATTTCTGCTTTAATTCATCTTTTTATATTTATTATATTTTATAGATTTTGTATTAGGCCTTGAAGGGCAGAGAGTCTTGTTAGGTCAGATTAAAAGCCAGCTT